CACATACATGGAATGTTGTCCCATGTCACATATTGTCCCCTTTTCTAACTGAACACCTCATGTAGAGATGTAAAGGTGTGTTAATCAACGGCTCATACCAGATTGTTTGCCATAAATTCCAAAGGGCTATTGATGTATGAAAAGCATTTTCTATAAAGTAAAAATGTCTTTCTATGTATGCAGATAAACCTTGAAATTTGGCAAAACAGCAAAGTATTTTTCATGATCACTAGGTAATTTTTCTGATGATCATTATAATTTCTAAACTAAATTATTTCAGATCAAACGAGCTTTGATCATATCAAAAGATATTTATCATAACCAGTAAGCATGACACATGAACCAATTTTAACATTCATGTAATTATATAATTAAAGACATGTTGGTTACATTCTGTTTGTATTTGCAAATACAATGCTACTAGTGATTGCTATATAGCACACCTTGCATATACTTACAGGAGATAATAGTCTAGTGAAATGCCTAATAAACATTTATGGCATTAAGCTGTCCTTAACTGCAAATTTTCACTCTGATAATTTTGCTTAACCTTTGGCAGAAAAATTTTGAGTTTTTCTCAAAAGGTGAATTTGCAGGCACTGATGTGGAGATGGGTAAAGGGTTACAATAAACTTGCATGGTTTGAAGTCTGAGCTTTTCTATATCTATGAACTGTCACTTGTAGTACCAAATTTCTAACTTAACTAAACTCATTACACTAAGGTTTGAATGGGGGTCTCTAGGGGGGTCTATGCCTGACAACTTGGTAGAAATTTTTAAAGACTATATCTGTTTTTGAATAGCATTATTGTAAAATAAATTTTACGTTCCTAGACATGCTAATGAGCCATATATTTGGCATGATAATGAGCCTAAATATTTGGCAAAACATTCAAGTATTGTTCACTTCATTTTTTTTTTTGAAAAAAACGTAAGCAAAATGTGTTGTTTTTACGCAAAAACGATGCCCACAAATACATTTTGTATTGCTCTAAAACGCTGAAAATGGCATTTTCAAGGCTCCGAAATTCAAAATTTCTCAGGGGAGAATGCCTCAGACCCCCCCCAGGTGCGGAGCGCCTTCGACGTTTTATGACTGATGTTTGAAAAATCCTAGATCCGCCCCTGGGGCTATCCCGCCTCTGACCATATGCTGCAAAGTTTATGTAAATATTATTATTTTCAGAAGAATGAAATAGACTTTACATATCAAAATTTTTTCCATCTTGGAAAGAAGTTTTTCATGGAAGATGATGTTCATGAAGATATTGGTGACAGTAAAGTCTTATTTTATACATAGTAACATAGATTAGGTATTATAATGGAATACTACATTTTTAATTGTCTTTTTTCATAACTTGAATTTACAAGATGTCCGTTTTCAGATTATGTAAGTTTTATTTCACACCGAAACAAGTTTGCACTGTCGGATTTCTTTGTGCTTAAATTCAATCCTTTATTTTGTACTTTAAAATAATCGCAAAGAAGTTCGTCTTCGAAAGTGAAAATGCATAATTATTAGGATTTGTATTAAAGTAAAAGACATGGATCCTAAATTACACTGGTGTTTTAAACCATAGAAGCAGTACAACTACAAAACAGCAAAAACCTTTATTCGTAAAACAATGTATAACGCAATGAAACACTTACCAAAAAACCATCGTTTTTATTGTCTCTAAAAAACCATCGCTTAAACGGTCTTTCGTTTTATATAACAAATCCATTACTTTATCTTAAGAAAACAAATGTCGCTGACTCGATTCCCGGTGGTATGGTTATCATAGGATGTATAGCTCAGTGAAGTATAATATCAACTGGAATGATAACTTCGCCGCCTTCTTTGAAGCCAGCATGATGCCAGCATTGAGTTCTATAATAACTAAAGCGGCTAAGTGGACTGGGAACTGACGCCAAAAATTGGTGGCCAATGGATCTATATCCGCTGAAGTGATCGCTTTGCAGAAATATACTCTCAACCTCCCACTGATTTCAAAAAAAAAGGAACATGTCGCTTTCACATGTGAGATATTTGTTGTGTTTGTTCATCAAAAATTGAAAAGCAATTGAACTTGAAGCCGGAGCGATAAAATCCGACATATTTTTTATTGTTCTTGTTTTTAAATATTAACATAATTTTCCACTTAGTTGTTAATGTGTGAAACCGTAAATCTGTTTGCAAAATAGTTTCCCTGACTCGCAAAAAGATTCTGCTCTTTTTACTTAGTGGGCAGAAACGATCACCCCCAAAGAGAACCCGTGTAGTAGAGCAGAGTTTGTTCTGATCAATTCGCTGACAACACGAAGAGATGATTGGATGGCAAAACGTTTTTGGAAAATGCTGCAGTACCACTATTTTATAGATCACTATATTCAGACAATTGAATCATGCTATTGACCAGACAGAGTCTAACTGCAAATGCTAAGGTTGAATACAAACAAAGGTAACTGATTTACCGACTTCTTGTCCAACAGTTACTTCAACTTGGACTAATTCTATGGATGGAGATAATGGATTTAGTAAAGATGCCTCGAATGCTTTGAAAGAAAAGGTTAAGTACCAAATAAAGATAACAAGGTACTTTGTGTCTTGATGTTTGATGAAATTTCATGTAAATACAGGTAGTTCAGTTTAATAACTCTCTAATTTCTGAAAAGCTGTTAAGCTTCTAGCTTTAATGAACACAAAGTGTGTTTTATTCATTTGGTTTTATTGCTTTATATTTACATGTGTACATGCACTTCATCATTCTTGTATAAGCAACACCAGATGTTGCATACTTAGAGGGATAAATCCCATAACAACTGGTAATAAAAATGGGTATAAAATTTATTATTATTGTGAAAGCTTTATTAGTCAATCAAATTTTGAACTCTCATGGCTAATAGGAAGCACATAAAAAAGAGAAAAAGAAGAGAAGTATTAAATACACAATTAAGTATTCATGTATTCAAGTGTTATAAACACTATTGTAATTTAAGTGTTTTAATTATTTGCATTTTCGCCATTTCACAAGCATTACAACGAAATCAAGTATGCTACAACTTGACAAGTATTTATGCAGTTCTTGTTCAGATGATCACAAAGATCTCAAAGGCTCTCGTGATTTGTATACAATATTTTTTTCATTATTCATTTACGAAACGCGAGATGCATGTACAAAAACAAATCCTACAATTGTTGCGAAAAAAGGTCATCACATGAAAGAAAGCAAAAAACTAATGATAATAAACGAGCTAACATTTCTCTCGTGATCCGCTGAGCTAAAATATGATATATTTTGTTTCGTGCGGACCATACACTTTGATATCGAGCAAATCATTGAACGACAGTTACAAACCGCACATCTGCATTCATATGTGGCCAACAAATAGCTCGTTCGTCAATAGTTATAAAAGGCATGCGTCATAGAAGCCGACAACTGGCAACCACAGTAGACTCGCTTTTATGAAATTTATGCTTTTACAGTGATTTTCATCATAAAATGCTTGCCAAATATGCAAAAAACACAAATACTTTTTCCTCATTCTTTCTTAAGGGGTAGAGACAAATTGTGAGATTTTCAGAAAAGCAGTCAATTTCGGTAAATCTCAGCGGTAATGGAACAAATCCTCCATTTTTTTGGCGTCAGCCGCTAATTAAAGCCGTGTTAGAGATAGTCGCTCCAGTTATTATAGAACTCAATAAATGCCAGCTTGCAGGTACCTCCAGTACCGGCCGGCTTTCTGATCATTATCGATGATATGTCTCTGTCGCTATGCCGACAATAGCCCCCATATAAGGTTGAATATTCTTCACTGCTGATTTGATTGATAAATTAAAAGAAAAGAAGATAAGATTTCTGTTTCGAGAACTTCCAACGAAAAATCACGATGTTGCCCGTTGGATGAGAGACAAACTTCCTGTTGGCAGCATAGGTAGGAGTCTGTATAAATTATTAATTGTAACAACTACAATAAATGAATGTAATACCATATTTTTTATGCATTTTATAATCTTAGATTTGCGCTTTTTTTTACAGGTCCTTATAAATGTAATGATGATGAAGAAAATAATATTCAAAGATGATATTTTCACTCCACTAATTTCTTTCTTTGATATCTTTTAATAAACAAATATATTGCGATCCATGGAAAAATGATTTTGCCATTAATAAGAGTGAGCGTGATTTTTGCGTCGCCCTCGTGTTAGTGTTAGTTGGTCTTTACAGTGTAGAAAGAAAACAGTATATGTAATCATAACCTTGCATATTGTGCTTTATTTGCTACGTTGAGTATGAAAAATTTATTCAATACGCCTTAAAAACCGATTTTCGTTTTCACACAGTGTAAACAGAAGGTTTGGAACGTCTGGCGAGCCACCGAGACATAAACATGAACAAATCGAAAATTTCTTTGATAAACAAAAGCCTGAAAATCCTTTCGAAAAGGTGATATCTCAATGGAAAGTTGAAAATCACTCTACAGCTGGAACGCTATATGATTTTCTGGTTGTTGAAAATATTATAAACTGATATGGAAGACTTTATATTTCAATAATTTGATGATTTACCAAAATATGTAAACGTTTATTGGAATTCAGAGTTACAGCAACATCTCGTTATACTTTTCTTAGCTAGTGAGAAAGAATTTACTTGTTACGCTTACTTCCGCGTCTTACCCATATTTATATACTGCAAATTTCCCAATAAAATGTTAGTTTGCCAACGTCATGGGTGTGTAACACATTGTTAGCGTGACGCCAAAAATTTTTACATAAGATTCTAAGATTCCTAGAGTATTTGTTGTAGATAGTTGTAATTTTTGCAAATTTCAATTCCATGCAGATCATTATCATATTTTCCAGGTAGTGATGTTCTCAGCAGACAAAAATTATGATTGCCAAACATTTTGACGAATAGTGCTGTAGATAAACTCGATAAGTCGATGACTACGGCAAACCTTAAATAATTGTATGTATTTGCAATTTAAATTCCATTCCAAAGCAACACTTGCGTGACGCCATTTGTCTGGTGACGCAGTTCAATACTTTCTAAAGTTAATTTCTTGCCACGTATCTGCGACTTTTTGGTTTAATTTTGGTGTTCATGTTCATATGCTTTAGTAGCTTTAAAAAGACGTTATAATCTTTGGGTATATTTAGCTTCTCTTTGAGCGTAACTCTTTTAGTGATGGAAGCAATAATAAAATCAGCTTTGAGCATAGTTGTGGATGTCGGGGAAGGCCGAAATGGAATGCATTTTTTGGATGCATTTATCGATAAATTAAAGGAAACATACGATAAATTAAAGGAAACATACGATAAATTAAAGGAAACATACGATAAACCGGAAAATGATCTTCGTCAGAGTTTCATTCACTTTCAGATAGGAGTTGAAGAGCTGAAACGCATTCAAGAGTCGACTGCAAATGAAACATCGTCATCGACACAGGTAACAACAATAAAATTATCTCAACAATGTCAAATGCGTTTCAAATTAGCTGGAGAGAAAGCGAAAAAGACGTTTGAAAATGATTCGTCGAGCACTGAAGAGAAAATAAAAGCAAGCAAGATACGTATTGCAAGCGCTATTCTTGAACATTCAGATAACTGCGGGTTAGCAACAAGGGATTTCATGTTATGTCTGAAAGATTTAAACTCCTCGATTTTTGCGGGAATAAAAGCCAAAACACACAACTATATAGTGACTGAAGTCCTTGACATAGTAATAGATATCAACTTGGCGTTGGCTAATTTCATCTTTAAGCACACAAACAAAAGGATGTCTGTTTTAAAATGGCCCCAGATTCAATATAATGGGCAGCTGGTTCATCCTTTTTATTTCAAGAAGGTTGAACAAAACACGACTACCTCATTACCTTGGTACTCAGCTCACTTTACTAAGAATACTGACCTCTTTAATGAGGAAATGGTCGTAAACAAAGAAGGAGAATTACTAATTTTTGATGGAAATGAACTCCAAAAATTTAACAGCAAAACCGAAGTGTTTGAAACCTGGTGTACGTTTCAAAGGTCAGATGTTCAAAATAGGCAAGTAAGATGCATGAACGTTGATGAAAATGGCGTAGTATATGTACTTTTGGGTTGCAAAGACAAATCGAATAGCGATTATACATTGTTGCTTTGTTTGGAAGACAAAATTGTTCAAAAATGTTCCTTGTCCTTTCCTGAAGTAATACAAGTTAGTAAGATTTTTCTTGCTGTAGCACCAAATAGCAATATTATCATTGCTGTTGCTACAGTCAAGAAGGATCAAAACTACATCATGATGCATGTGTGTGACAGTAAAGGCAACCTTAATAAGCCATTTGTAGCAAAGGGTAAACGTAAACCAATTGATGATGAAATGAAATATTTGTCCATTTCCTCCGACGACAACATAGTCATTTTGACTTATAAATCACCCAAAACTTACCGAATTATCATTAGTACGATGGACGGAAAATTTGTTAAAAAAAAAAAATTTCAACCACACAAAGACGAAATTAATTCATACAAGGAAGTCATTTATACTCCCGTCTCCAACAGTGTCACAGGTTTTTTCTTTGACAAATCAAAGCTGGTGATTGAGACTTATTCTGTTGAAACCGAAAAATTTAACTTGCCTATAATCCTGATAAACACTGGATATGACTCGGAAATTTTTGACGCTTCATTACGCATCGTTCATCATGCTGGCGAAAACGTGGCATTAGTGTGTAGAAAAAAAAGTGTAGTTCGTTTTATTATTGGAAACCGTAGTTGCGGAGACGTGGACTCGACGTTGAAGTGGATGAACATGGAAGTGAAGACAGATTTAGACTCAGTTCCAGGTGTTAAGAAAGGTTTGAGTGATTGGTCGATTTTAATATCAGGTTTATTAACCTATTCTAACATTGCAGCAACCATATTACATTTTAAACACGATGTCCATGACCTCTGTAAATATTTTTTAATTGAAAACTTACTGGTCATTTTATGTTGTAACAATAAGGCTTCCTATTGGGCTTTAGGAAAAGCAAAATAATTTTGTCACCTGCAAAAGATCACTTATTTAATCTTACTCACCGCCTTACAACATGCAAGCTTACAGAAAGGAATTCTTGACAATAGAATAAATTATTTATGTTTAATCAACGAAAAGTGTAATTGAAGATCATTTCCAATGACTTTACAGCATTGCCACTCATGGCATTTTAAATATCGGGATACTTTTAATGAAAAGAACTAAATTATTTTGACATGAAGTAAAAGTAATGTTTATGCTATACCCTATACAAACTCATTTTTAAACTGCATAGTTGTATGATGCTATTCTGTTTCTTTTGTTCTAGTGGTAAAATTTCTGTTATTTTATTTTTAATTTAGAAAACTCATCTTCAAAGGCTAACACATCGTCCACTGCTTTTATCAATTCAGAGCCATCTGGTAAGTCATCACAAAACAGCGTAAAATATTGAAACTTGGCGAACTTGCTAACTGACATTTTATGTTTCCTGATACCAGGGCGTCGGAAGTGGGAAGGCAGAGAGCTAACCCCCTTTTCTCAGAAGGGGATGTCCCCTTTACTTTGCTTCGAGATAGGAAAATTACCACCAAGGAGAATGTTTACTAATAGTTTATTTCGACTATAAAACACACATATATCAACAGTGCAGTGAGTGGACTCTAAAAAATCACGTAGAAATCTTTTGCAAATTGTTTTCACATTAGTTTATTACGTTCGCAAGTGAACGACCGGTGTTGCTAAAATTCTAAATTGCGACTATTAGACAACATGTTGCAGACATAGGTACTCATAATTTTAAAATGTGCCCCTCCGTTTTTATGTTCCTTCCGACGCGCCTGTCTGACACACTTAATAAGGTGTAAGTTAAAAAGTTCCTTTAAATGTTAAAACAGTGATGAATAACGTGAATTCTGTTTAATGCAATAAACCTTAAATGCAATAAAATGAAAATAATCAACATAAAGCTTACATTACTTAAATGCTATGGCAAAATTTTAAGCTTTTTTAAAACTGTATACTTTTTTATACACTCTACAGAACACAGCGATGCTGCAGAAGAGAATAATTGCCATCAAGATGATAGAAAACAAGGTATACCAGTCCACTTTCGTTTTCGTTCATACAAAAAGCTCGACACCAGTAAATTGTAAAGAATCGCAATAGGTTATGATTAATTGATTTAATTTAGTTTTATGTACAAGATGGGAGTTCAGAGCTCTACAAATACGCGAAAACCCAAACCCTAATTTTAACCATGGTAAAGTAGACTACGAGGCCATGGCCGTGTATTTGTAAAACACGCGTGTTACTGAGTTTCACGTGTAATGTGATCAGGGATAGTTACAAAAATAAGACACCTAATAAGTAAGTATTCGTTAAAGCTTGTTTACAACACATAAGACTTTAATATCTTAACACCGATAAAAACGGAACTCAAAAAATACGAAGAATTTAAAACAATTGCATGAGTTTTCAAAATTTACCGGAAAAATTTTGAAACAAACAATGAAATTCATAACTATTATACAAGAAATGTAGCAAAGTTACACAAAACTTGTAAAAAACCAACTATACTATAGTGAATAGAATACATTAGAGGCAACGCACAAATGAATGAACTTTTATAATGTTTATATGCCAACGATTAATAAAACAACATTTGATAAACATTGACCTACCTAAATAAATTACTACTTTACCTAAATAAATTACTTGAATGGAATAGTAGAAACGTATACGTAAGAATGATTATAACCAATTACCCATTAAATGTATATTAGTTATAGTAAATACTAGCGTGAAATATTTTTGTATCTGAATCTTAACAATGAAATATGCTTCATTTGTAATTAAATTTTATATGTCGCAAGTAATAGCTACAATAATTATTCTTCACTATAAATATGCGGACTATTCTGTTTTACAAGCCTAACAAGTTGCCTACATTGAAATCTGTCAAGGTTTTTACTAGGTCTCTATAGCTCAAAACATTCATATATTGTTCGTGTAGTTATAGCTTTAAAAATTAATACAGTAAACAAGATTTTTCAGCGTAGTATGTCATTGTCGTGGTATGACTCATTAAAATAGTTTTTTTTCAAAGCTTAAAACTTCTTTTGCTTGCTAAACAAATGTTTACAATCTCCTTCCTGTAATAATATCAATTTTCCAAATTCAAACGTTCTCATTGACTTACAAATCCATATAAAACAATTTTTGTGAGAATACCACATATTAGTTAAATCGCGTCCGACTAGATAATATTTTTCAATTTCGCAACGATCAATTAATTGCATGAAGTATTAAATTATATATGCACGAAGTGAAATTAACGCTCTCCCCTACACTAAGCCAGTTTCCAAACTGATTATATCTCTATTCCATTTCTTGGTGTTCAATTGGTAAATTTTCCTATCGTTTTATTGAATTTAGAAACCTCGTCTTCGAATACCAGCACATCGGCAACTACTTTAATCAATTCGGAGCGATCCGGTAAGTCATCACAAAACAGCGCAACACAATTGAGTCTTGGAGAACTTGCTAACTGACATTTTATGTTCTCTATAAAAGACACTTAATATGATGTAGTGCATAATTTTCAGGTATAGATTTTTGGTAATAACTGTATTATTACTATTAATAACTCGATAATCAACATTCGTCAATCCTGCAAAAATAGCCTTTAGCAACCGACGTTGAGGGCTGAAGGTTGAGCTATGAAAGACTCTCTCTTCCACTATAAAAGCTCATTCTTTTTTGGCATGACCTGTAGTGAATCCAGCACTCGTCAAAATAATATTAAATTCAAAATGCTTTCCGAAAAACACTGTTGGCTTTGAATTTTTATAGAATTCACCAACTGATTTGACTCCAAGAGGCTTTATGCCAAAATGTGCTGCAATAATTTATTTTCACGTACCCTAGATCCGATACTGGATATTACCTCTGTATTGTCCCCTTTGTGTTCCCATTTACAGATACAGAGTCTGCCGTTGGTCTTACAAACAAGTTATCAACTGTGTGTAATCTAGAAACAACCTACTCTGAAATACCAAATCATGTTCAAAGAAAGTTAGAAGAACGTTTAAATAAAGGAGATGAGCTATTAGAGAATGACTGGAAAAGGTGATTGTAAAATAACTTAACGTTTTAATCTAACCTTTTCCTGTATGATGTATATTATGACATTACACTAATGATTATGTTGGTGCATTGTCTAACTAGAATCTAAAATTGCTTGTTTTTCAAGCCTTTACAAAGTACTGAAGTTTCCAGAAAGTAAAGAAGTCATGATTGCTGAAAAATTCTCTGACAATCCCACACGATATATGTTGAAGACTTGGTTTAAAAGAGATGGACAACATGCCAATGTAAAAGCACTGCTCCTAGCATTGAAAGAGTGTAATCAAGGAGGCTTAGCTTATGAAATAGAAAGGGATTTGGATGTTAAGCTACCTCATAAAGTTCAACAAAACACCGTACCCCTGATGGTTCAGCAAAACACCGTAAATGATCGTGACGTTAGCTTGAGCCAAAACAACAAAGGTAAGTAAAGATGAAAACAGAGGAACGAAAAAATACGGTTGACCTTAATTTTTTCATTAACAATCAAGCTAATTGATGAATCAAAGCATAATTTTTCCTGATTGCTTATTAGTTTACTAGTTCATTTTTGAATGAATGTGAAATAAATATTGGGATAGCTAATGCATATCTCCATCTTCATTAAACTCTAAGATTTATGAAAGATTTACCACCAGATTTAAAGGAGAAGTTGATGTTTCAATTAAACAAAGTCGATGTTGATATTCTCTGCGACATTGCTACTACAATCATGGACAAGAGGTGTTACGTACGTGACAGTATTGATTTCATGGATAAATTAAAAGAAAGGAATATAAGATTTCTGGGGAGGTTTAACCATGGAGTTCTATAAGACTTGGAGGGGAAAGGGGCCTGGACCCGGTTGTCAAAAACTTGGCGGTAATGGCGGATTTTGGTGGTCAAAACTTTCACTTTAAAATTTTTTATCAATATTCACTCCTTCCTGATTTCTATTACTATTTATATGATTGATAACAAGTAAAAAATACATATATAATACCGACAGCATATTATATAAACATAATGCTGAAGCATTATTACAATAGTTACATTCACCACAAACGTTTACGGCCAGCAAGGAGGATTTAAAGGACAAACAGTGTGAAGGAAATAGCACAAACAAGAAGGGTAACCGAATAAAGAGGGAAGTTCAGATGAAGTAAAGGCAGCAGTTGCAACTGGGCCGGAGACATCGTGTGCCTTAGCGTTGTCCCACTGAAAGTGAAAGCAAAGCGACCATCAATCAGAACATACTAATTACTAATGGATAGCGGTTCAGAAGTAACACTTTGTCGTAAACGTTAGCAAAATCAACTTGGAATAACTGGGCGAAAGCTTGACTTCACATTGACAGGGATGACTGGATCTACTGAATTAAAGAGTGAATTTCACACATTCGAGTCCAACCGTTTGTCAGTGATTCGTAGTGGATCGTACCTATCATAGTGGAATTACGTGAACCGGGACGACAATCCCGCCAATAAAGGCTCCGAGAGCGTTAAATTGGACGTGTTGAGAAACAAAGGCCAATGGTTAAAATGTCCGGCATTCTTTTGGGAGGATGAAAGCCATTGTCTAAAGGGGACAATATTTCTGAAGGATGAAGACTGAGAAGTAAGGAAGAAAGGCCAAATTTACGTGACTGCAAAACAGCCTCACTTGTTCGATATGTTGATTTCACGCCACTCCATTTAGTGGAAGTTTAGGTGTTCTGTTGCTTGGTTGATACGTTATAAGGATTATTTTTTAGCAAGGCGATTCAAAGGAAAGTTTTTTCTGGTCCTCATTTGGAATCGGAATTTAAACTGTATGACTAAAAATGGAAGAATTGGATGCCGCCGAAAGGGAGATCTTCGTACATGTACAGAACACAACATTCTCTCAACAACTGAAACTGTTTGCAGTTCCAGGAAATAGCAAGGAGCTTGACAAGGCACTACTCCGAAAATGAGGAATCTACATTCGACAAATAAATCCAATGATGGTGAACGGCTTACTAAAGGTTGGAGGCAGGCTTGTTAATGCGCCAATCAATGGGAAATCAAAACATCCTATTATTCTACCCTTCAAGCATCCCGTCACAGATATGATAATTTGTCAACATCATGTTGAAGTAGGTCATATGGGTCAAGAATCCGTCTTATCATCACTAAAAAATGAATTCTGGATAATTAAAGTAAGAACAGCAGTTTCACGCGTTGTACGACTTTGCCTGGCTTGTCAAAGAAGAAAGGCTCGTTTGGGTGAGCAGCTAATGTCAGATCTACCAGCAAGCCAAGTGACACCTCAAAAACCTCCTTTTACTAATGTAGGAATCGATTATTTTGGACCCATGCTGGTGAAAACAGGTAGATCGTTGGTGAAAAGATATGTCTGCCTTTTGTCATGTTTCACGACCCGAGCAATCCATAGAGAAATAGCTCATTCCTTTGATACTGACCCGATGATCTACGCTCTCAGGAAATTTATTACCATTCGAGGATGTCGCAAACAAATCAGGAGTGATAGAGGAACAAATTTTGTGAGTGCTAACAAGGAAATGAACAAAGAAATTGAAGAATGAGATCGAAGTAAAGTTCACAAATTTTGTACGCAAAGAAAAATTAAGTGGCACTTTAACCCGCCTTCAGTGAGCCATATGGGAGGCGTATGGGAGAGAATGATACGATCTGTTCATTCCCAAGTTGTATGACGACTTGCCACTCATGGCATTGCCACATTGCCACTCATGGCATTTTAAATATCGGGATACTTTTGATAAAAAGAACTAAATTATATTGATATGAAGTAAAACTAATGTTTATGCTATACCCTATACAAACTCATTTTTAAGCTGCATAGTTGTATGATGCTATTCTGTTTCATTTGTTCTAGTGGTAAAATTTCTGTTATTTTATTTTTAATTTAGAAAACTCGTCTTCAAAGGCTAACACATCGTCCACTGCTTTTATCAATTCAGAGCCATCTGGTAAGTCATCACAAAAAAGCGCAAACAATTGAATCTTGGAGAACTTGCTAACTGACATTTTATGTTTCCTGATACCAGGGTGTCGGAAGTGGGAAGGCAGAGAGCTAACCTCCTTTTCTCAGAAGGAGATTTCCCCCCAACTTTGCTTTGAGATAAGAAAATTACTACCAAGGAGAATGTTTACCAATAGTTTATTTTGACTACAAAACACACATATCAACAGTGCAGTTAGTCGACTCTAAAAAATCACGTAGAAATCTTTTGCAAATTGTTTTCACATTAGTTTATTACGTTCGCAATGAAACGACCGGTGTTGCTAAAATTCTAAATTGCGACTATTAGACAACATGTTGCAGACATAGGTACTCATAATTTTTAAAATGTGCCCCCTCCCTTTTTATGTTCCTTCCGACGCGCCTGTCTGACACACCTAATAAGGTGAAAGTAAAAAAGTTCCTTTAAATGTTAAAGCAGTGATGAATAACGTGAATTCTGTTTAATGCAATAAACCTTAAATGCAATAAAATGAAAATGATCAACATAAAGCTTACATTACTTAAATGCTATGGCAAAATTTTAAGCCTTTTTAAAACTGTATACTTTTTTATACACGTGATGCTAAATTTATAGTCACTACAGAACACAGCGATGCTGCAGAAGAGAATAATTGCCATCAAGATGATAGAAAACAAGGTATACCAGTCCACTTTCGTTTTCGTTCATACAAAAAGCTCGACACCAGTAAATTGTAAAGAATCGCAATAGGTTATGATTAATTGATTTAATTTAGTTTTGTGTACAAGATGGGAGTTCAGAGCTCTACAAATACACGAAAACCCAAACCCTAATTTTAACCATGGTAAAGTAGACTACGAGGCTATGGCCGTGTATTTGTAGAACACGCGTGTTACTGAGTTTCACGTGTAATGTGATCAGGGATAGTTACAAAAATAAGACACCTAGTAAGTAAGTATTCGTTAAAGCTTGTTTACAACACATAAGACTTTAATATCTCAACACCGATAAAAACGGAACTCAAAAAATACGAAGAATTTAAAACAATTGCATGCGTTTTCAAAATTTACCGGAAAATTTTTGAAACAAACAATGAAATTCATAACTATAATACAAGAAATTTAGCAAAGTTACACAAAACTTTTAAAAAAACAACTATACTATATAGGAATAGAATACATTAGAGGCAACGCACAAATGAATGAACTTTTATAATGTTTATATGCCAACGATTAATAAAACAACATTTGATAAACATTGACCTACCTAAATAAATTACTACTTTACCTATATAAATTACTTGGATGGAATAGTAGAAACGTATACGTAAAAATGATTATAGCCAGTTACCCATTATATGTATATTAGTTATAGTAAGTACTAGCGTGAAATATTTTTGTATCTGAATCTTAACAATGCTTCATTTGTTATTAAATATTATGTGTCGCAAGTAATAGCTACAATAATTATTCTTCACTATAAATATGCGGACTATTCTGTTTTACAAGCCTAACAAGTTGCCTACATTGAAATCTGTCAAGGTTTTACTAGGTCTCTATAGCTCAAAACATTCATATATTGTTCGTGTAGTTATAGCTTTAAAATTAATACAGTAAACAAGATTTTTCAGCGTAGTATGTCATTGTCGTGGTATGACTCATTAAAATAGTTTTTTTTCAAAGCTTAAAACTTCTTTTGCTTGCTAAACAAATGTTTACAATCTCCTTCCTGTAATAATATCAATTTTCCAAATTCAAACGTTCTCATTGACTTACAAATCCATATAAAACAATTTTTGTGAGAATACCACATATTAGTTAAATTGCGTCCGACTAGATAATATTTTTCAATTTCGCAAGGATCAATTGCATGAAGTATTAAATTATATATGCACGAAGTAAAATTAATGCTCTCCCCTACACTAAGTCAGTTTCCAAACTGATTATATCTCTATTCCATTTCTTGGTGTTCAATTGGTAAATTTTCCTATCGTTTTATTGAATTTAGAAACCTCGTCTTCGAATACCAGCACATCGGCAACTACTTTAATCAATTCGGAGCGATCCGGTAAGTCATCACAAAACAGCGCAACACAATTGAGTCTTAGAGAACTTGCTAACTGACATTTTATGTTCTCTATAAAAGACACTTAATATGATGTAGTGCATAATTTTCAGGTATAGATTTTTGGTAATAACTGTGTTATTACTCTTAATAACTCGATAATCAACGTTAAGGACTGAAGGGTGAGCTATGGAAGACTCTCTCTCTTCCACAATAAAAGCTAATTCTTTTTTGACATGACCTGTAGTGAATCCAGCGTTCGTCAAAATAATATTAAATTCAAAATGCTTTCAGAAAAACACTGTTGGCTTTGAACTTTTATAGAATTCACCAACTGATTTGACTCCAAGAGGCTTTATGCCAAAATATGCTGCAATACTTTATTTTGACGTACCCTAGATCCGCCACCGGATATTACCTCTGTATTGTCCTCTTTACGTTCCCATTTACAGATACAGTGTCTGCGTTTGGTTTGACAAACCAGTCATCAACTGTGTGTAATCTAGAAACAACCTACTCTGAAATACCAAATCATGTTCAAAGAAAGTTAGAAGAACGTTTAAATAAAGGAAAAGAGCTATTAGAGAATGATTGGAAAAGGTGATTGTAAAAAAACTTAAAAGGTTTTAACGTAACCTTTTCCTTTATAATGTTTGTTATGACATGACGCTAGTGATTATGTTGGTGTATTGTCGAACTAGAATCTAAAATTGCTTGTTTTTCAAGCCTTTACAAAGTACTGAAGTTGCCAGAAGGTAAGGAAGACATGATTCCTGAAAAATTCTCTGACAACCCCACACGATATGTGTTGAAGACTTGGTTTGATAGAGATGGACAACATGCCAATGTAAAAGCACTGCTCCTAGCATTGAAAGAGTGTAAGCAGGGAGGCTTAGCTCTTGAAATAGAAAGGGATTTGGATGTTAAGCTACCTGATAAGGCTGAACAAAACCCCGTACCAGTGGAGGTTCAGCAAAACACCGTAAATGATCGTGACGTTAGCTTGGGCCAAAACAACAAAGGTAAGTAAAGATGAAAACAGAGGAACGAAAAAACAGTTGACCTTAATTTTTCATGAATAATCAAGCTAATTGATGAATCAAAGCATAATTTTTCCGGATTGCTTATTAGTTTACTAGTTCATTTTTAAATGAATGTGAAATAAATATTGAGATAGCTAATGAATATTTCCATCTTCATTAAACTCTAAGATTTATGAAAGATATACCACCAGATTTAAAGGACCAGTTGATATTTCAATTAAACAAAGTCGATGTTGATATTCTCTGCGACATTGCTACAACAATCATGGACGAGAGGCGTTACGTACGTGACAGTATTGATTTCATGGATAAATTAAAAGAAAAGAAAATAAGATTTCTGGGGAGTTTTAACCATGGAGTTCTATAATACTTGGAGGGGAAAAGGGGCCTGCACCCGGTTGTCAAAAACTTGGCGGTAATGGCGGATTTTGTTGGTCAAAACTTTCATTTTAAAATTTTTTATCAATATGCACTCCCTCCTGATTTCTATTACTGGTTATATGAACGATAACAAGTAAAAAATACAATTACTATACCGACAGCATATCATATAGAAATAATGCTCCAGCATTATTATAATAGTTACATCCACCACAAACGTTTACGGCCAGCAAGGAGGATTTAAAGAACAAACAGTGTGAAGGAAATAGCACAAACAAGAAGGGAACCGAATAAAGAGGGAAGTTCAGATGAAGTAAAGGTAGCAGTTGCAACTGGGCCAGAGAGCGTGTGCCTTAGCGTTGTCCCACTGAAAGTAAAAGCAAAGGGGAACAATCGACCATCAATCAGAACTTACTAATCACTAATGGAAAGCGGTTCAGAAGTAACACTTTGTCGTAAACGTTAGCAAAATCAACTTGGAATAACTGGAAGAGAGCTTGACTTCACATTGACAGGGATGACTGGATCTACTGAATTAAAGAGTGAATTTCACACATTCGAGTCCAACCGTTTGTCAGCGATTCGTAGTGGATTGCACCTACCATAGTGGGATTACGTGAACCGGGACGACAATCCCACTGATAAAGGCTCCGAGGGCGTTAAAATAGACGTGTTGAGAAACAAAAGCCAGTAGTTAAAATGTCCTGCATTCTTTTCGGAGGATGAAAGTCACTGTCTAAAGGGGACAACATTTCTGAACTAAAGGATGAAGACTAAGAAGTAAGGAAGGAAGGCCATATTTACGTGACTGCAGAATAGCCTCACTTGTTCGATATGTTGATTTCACGCCACTCCATTTAGTGGAAGTTTAGGTGTTCTGTTGCTTGGTTGTTACGTTATAAGGATTATTTTTTTAGCAAGGCGAGACAAACGAAAGTTTTTTCTGGTCCTTATTTGGAATCGGAATTTAAACCGTATGACTAAAAATGGAAGAATTGGATGCCGCCGAAAGGGAGATCTTCGTACATGTACAGAACACAACATTCTCTCAACAACTGAAACTGTTTGCAGTTCCAGGAAATAGCAATGAGCTTGACAAGGCACTACTCCGAAAATGAGGAATCTACATTCGACAAATAAATCCAACGATGGTGAACGGCTTACTAAAGGTTGGAGGCAGGCTTGTTAATGCGCCAATCAATGGGAAATCAAAACATCCTATTATTCTACCCTTCAAGCATCCCGTCACAGATATGATACGACTTTGCCTGGCTTGTCAAAGAAGAAAGGCTCGTTTGGGTGAGCAGCTAATGTCAGATCTACCAGCAAGCCAAGTGACACCTCAAAAACCTCCTTTTACTAATGTAGGAATCGATTATTTTGGACCCATGCTGGTGAAAACAGGTAGATCGTTGGTGAAAAGATATGTCTGCCTTTTGTCATGTTTCACGACCCGAGCAATCCATAGAGAAATAGCTCATTCCTTTGATACTGACCCGATGATCTACGCTCTCAGGAAATTTATTACCATTCGAGGATGTCGCAAACAAATCAGGAGTGATAGAGGAACAAATTTTGTGAGTGCTAACAAGGAAATGAACAAAGAAATTGAAGAATGAGATCGAAGTAAAGTTTACAAATTTTGTACGCAAAGAAAAATTAAGTGGCACTTTAACCCGCCTTCAGTGAGCTATATGGGAGGCGTATGGGAGTGAATGATACGATCTGTTCATTCCCAAGTTGTATGACGACTTGATAGTCACACTAGGGTAGAAATTAGAAAGGGGGCGAGCAATAAGTATTTCGTTGAATACTACTACTAACTCCAAAATTTTACAAAATCTTTTAGATTCTTTAAATCTAAAAGAAGAAAATAATGTCTACATTAGTTACTATGTGTTTCCTTGAGTAAATGAAAATATCATCATTAAATAAATAATTTATAATTGCTAATGAGCAAAAAAAAAGGCTAGAAAGTCGTGGTTTTAATCAGTCGAAAACTCAATTGAACATTTTGTTGATATGTCACTAACAAGAATGAATTTGTCATGACAAATACCAAGTGTTGTAGTCGTCCTAGCGGCTCTAATAAAAGCATTTTTATTTGAGGTACTAAATTTATTTCAGTAATGCTCCAATTACTTTCGAAGTCGCAATAATAAAAATCCTGTTTTTCCTGTAGCAAATACCTATTAGAATCACTGATCTCGAAATAAGACTAAATTAAGCATCTAGTACAAAAGTTAAAGACATAAATAAAGAGGGTCGCCATTACTAAGGGACAAACTTTCGAAAATAAGGAGCAAATATATTGTGGATTTCTACAAGAATAATCAAGAATTTTCCACATGTAACTACATAAACACAATTAAGAGATAAATCGTTTTATAGAAACGCTAAAAATATGATGAAATGTGATGAAATATTATAAAAATGCAGCGACTTTTGTCATCGGTTACTTTACTGTGGAATTGAAAAAGAGCCCAAAACTGCATGGAAATATCTAGAATTGTTGAAACAGTAATTCAGAAGTATATTATTTATGGTATAATAAAGTCGGCTAGTATTCTTAAGATTCAAAAATTTTAGAATAGTTGATAGTGGAACAATGCTCGGTTGAGGATATTTGATGACAGACTAAAATTTATGCGTATTTTTTTTTCTTTTCTATGTAACAAAAGAAAAGGAAGGCCAGAATCCGGTCAGCCAGAGAAAAACAAAAGGTATAGTCTTTTTTGGCAAAAGAACAGACCATGTTTAAAAATTTAGCTTTTGTGTGGGGTAACAAATCTGTTGTTTAAATTGTACTCAAAATTCAAATTTGCTCTGCGAATTCAAATTCACACCATGCACTTATTCAAATTTTAAATTCAAATTTTTGCTCGTTGAGCCGTGTTTCCATTGCATTAGATACTTTATGTAATCGTACGTGAAAAAGAAATTTAGCTATTGTTCTCTCGAACAATAAAAGGCGCATTTTATATATGAGTATGTAATTGTTAAAACTAGTTTTTTTTAAATTGTGTTGCAATTCATTTTGACGAAAAGTGCGCAGCGAAACTAATTATTGTCAGAACTGTGGTGTTGCAGGTGAGCGTATATAGCAGACTTGTAATGAACCAATCCATTGATTACAATTTGTGTAAAAACTGAAAAAGGACTCCAAGTAATCGAGTGTAAGCTAATAGAAGTTTGTGACTTGTTCTTGTGAGATAGAGCCAGATTAAATCATGTTTGTGGATTGCGTTACACATGGAAAATTGTTTTAACACAAAATTCATGTTTTTAGTTCCATTTGGCTTACGTGAATTGCCCTGTGATATGGTTGAGCGACCATTACTTGTGAAGGACATTATAAAGAAATTGAAGTCGAAAAGTAATAAGGTGGGACTTGTAGGCGTTCGTAGAAGAGACGTACTGAGTATTCGCGGTATGGGAGGACTTGGAAAAACTGTATTAGCTCAGGCTGTGGCTTGGGTTCAAGCAGAACAACGTCACGTAATTTGGCTTGATATTGGACAAAATCCAGACTGCTTAACTCTTCTAAATATACTTATCCAAGAACTGGGTGGAACAGTAACTTATAGTAACGAAAGCGACGCGCAATCTTGGTTGAGAGAAAATACGATTGACAAAGATTGCTTGCTTGTTCTTGATGACGTATGGAATATAAAACACGCTAGTTGGTTTGATTGCTTGTCTGGTAAATGTCAGCTGCTGATTACGACACGAGACGCGGACGTTGTTTGTGGCTTAAAAGGTTTGATTTCACTGCACCAATGAAAATATACTCTTTACAAATTTAACATATCAGTAAATTCTACTGTGACGCAATACAATGTTTGATTATCCCCAAAGAAAATTTTTAGTGCAAAGTTTCCATAGGAACTTGGTAGTATTGTGGTGAGAGGCGAAAATTTACACGAGTCAGTAAGTCATTCAGTCAGTCAGTCAGTTCGTCAGTCAGTCATTCAGTCAGTCAGTCAGTCAGCCAGTCAGTCAGTCAGTCAGTCAGTCAGTCAGTCAGTCAGTCAGTCAGTCAGTCAGTCAGTCAGTCAGTCAGTCAGTTAGTCAGTCAGTCAGTCAGTCAGTCAGTCAGTCAGTCAGTCAGTCAGTCAGTCAGTCAGTCAGTCAGTCAGTCAGTCAGTCAGTCAGTCAGTCAGTCAGTCAGTCAGTCAGTCAGTCAGTCAGTCAGTCAGTCAGTCAGTCAGTCAGTCAGTTAGTCATTAAGGAATAATGGTATTTAATTCGCCGTATTGCCGCATTTGCCAAGTACTTGGCTAGCGCTAATTATTTAGCAACCTACTGTGAACTTCTGGTCTAAATACCCTCATACACGACGTGTTGGTGAATTCGTCTTAAACATATGACAGTAAAAATGAAACTTTCCACACATCTGCCTCGGTAAGGAACATTTTTCAAGACATAAAGTGCACTATTACTGTCCTTAAAGAAAGCATTAGTTGTGGATTACTTTAGAACAATATAAAGTCATGTACGACTGTATGACATGTACGACTGTATGACTGTACGACTGTATGACTGTACGACGTTTCATACACCCACATCATTAATATTTGCAAGGAGCACTACTAATTTAGATCTTCTAGAACATTTTGAAGAATAAAGCTCTCCAAAAATTATACAAGATAAACAATATGCACCATGCCCCGAAGGGAAATAACAAAGCCATTGAAAATCTTCAAATCACTCATATCTAAAAGTTCTTTAGTTATTAGCACTGAAGGGAGAGAAAACATGATTGTTTTGAAACCTAAAATCATTCCAAATCAAATTACTATTGATAAGAACCATGCTCAATGTGTAAATCACAGTGTTGAAAATCTCTTATTTAAATATACCTCACAGATCTCACAGGTAGGTATACCTTAAAGCCATTTCTCTATAAAGGGCTGATCAAATTGATTAGTATTTGCATGCCTTTTTTGCAATCAAATTGTTTTGAACTTTGTAGAAAATGCACAGAGCCAGGTAGATATTCTAGCATAATACAACCAGTAGAGATGGCACTGGATTGAGCTTTATCTTCATATGCAATATCTTATCATATGTGAGGTAGGATTGCAACAATTTAAATATTTTCTCTTAAGCTAATAAATAAAAAACATAGAGATGCAAAATTGTTAGGTTGTATTTTAGGGTGAAAGTAGGGCCTCGACGATTGCATTACATTTTGAGCTTTTCCTAATGAGGATAATATGAGGCAATTGATCTTTCAATGACAGAAGTTAAGCCTTACATTCCAAAAAATGATGACTTCTACTTGCCATGGCAGTTTAGGTATTATTCTTTTTTAACAATTAAAATCTTTGCTAGTCAAACCTCAATCCAAGCCTTCCTGTGATACAGATTGAAGCAAAGATTTTTAACACTGTGATTGAAACATTCAGCATTATTTTTATCAATAGTTGAGAATAAAGGGTAATTGTAGTAAGTTTTGGCATTTTGAAAGAGTCCTATAAAGGTCAGCAGCCTTAATAAGTTTACCAGATTTTAATCAATTGAGAAAATTAGTGACACAGAGCTACAAAGGAAATTTCTAAAAGGATCTGATCAACAAGTACAATAAATCAATTATTTATTTTCAAACTCAAACATACTCATTTCAATTGAATCACGACTGAAACCTAAATACCTTATAGCTGTGGAAACGCTTCTTTTACAACTACAATCGTTCAAAGGCATATATATAAACCTCATCATAAAAATCACTACTTAGTATCTTCTTGTTAAATAACAAATCGGCAAGCTGGTCGCTCGACTAACTCGACGACTCACTCAATATACCTTTTACGCAAAGATGATTTTAGTTCGCACAAAATAACTCTGTCTTTATTCAAAATTCCACATTTAATGCCCTTGACCATATCATTACTTACCATAGTGACAGTAATTTGTAGAATAGTCCGACTATTCTACAAAATTATAGTCCACCAAATCCAAACAAAATTTGCTGATAGAATACGATACGCTTGACTTTCAAATTGACGATCTCCCCCGGTCGTGAACAGTGCAAGTGAGTGAAGGAATCATTGACTAATAGAAAATATAGTGCCAAAGTAGTCCGCAGCCCCCCGGTAATTTACAGCAAATGAGTCGCGACAGGAGTCAAGAATAATTAAAATACGCTTTTGCTAATCAAATAAATGGATATAGTCACAAGATGGTGCGAGATTTGTGCGCTTAACCGCTGCCTCCGCAAACAAAAATGGTTTTTAAATACTAACTTTAGATAAAACTAAACTGAAATTTGGACTTTGTAAAAAGGAAAATACGTAATTACTCATCATTATGGTGACCTTGGTTCTCAAAATAGAATAATTATTTTTTTAGGAAAATATACCTGAGCCGCATGACTCTCTTGACATACCCTTGATACGCCCATGAAAATAAGCTTGACATATGTGCCAGAAGAATAAAAAAAACACAACATAACTAAAACAAAGAACGTAAATCATGAGTGATTTAGTAATTTATATGTTTTATACTTCATATTAGTAATAAAAGAATGTGATGCATGAATGACGAAGGTATGATTGTAGCGCGTAAATGTCCTTATTAAGTATCTGCAACGTAAGTTGGCATAAAGATTAAGGTTTATTTACGCAATCTTGGAGTAAGTCAGTATAGCTATTCGTCAAAACACAAAATTTCAGGCATTGAAAAGCCCCCCCCCCCGAAATAAATTTCATTTTAGCATTTTTTGGAACGCCAAGGTTCAATACTAAGTATTCTTAAAACTAATTTTATTTGTCATGTTTAGGAACATATTTTCTAAGAAACTTTGCACTATCCTTGGATGCATACTTTCACAACCAGACAAAGTTCTTTTACGCTTTTTATTTTAAAATATCAAGCAAATGTAGTCGTTTAAAATGCTTATGACAAATACTAAAGCAACTTTAATGAAAAAATTCTATTAGGCATTGAAATCTACGAACTGCAAATAATGCCGAAAGATCAATCGCGCCAGCTTTTGTACAATTGTGCGCAGGTTTCTACTGATGAACAATCGACGCTTTCTGTCGAATTACAAAGAATAGTAGAAGAATTGTTAGAGCAATGCCGTGGACTCCCACTTGCCTTGTCGATCATTGGTGCTACTTTAATAGGTGCTCACGCTGAGCAGGATTGGCAAGACACTTTAGATGAACTTAAAAGTGCAAACTTACAACTAAGTATTAGGTCTAAAGAGGATCTTTTACCTGGTGAATATCAATATACAAATGTGTCGGCTGCTATTGATGTCAGTTTAAAACGACTCAGCCAAACGAATCGAGAATATGAAGAAAAGTTTTTCGACCTCGCCATTTTTCCAGAGGATACCGACATCCCATCAGACATTCTTGAACTCTTTTGGTCATCTGAGAACATTTCAGGGCGAAATTCATGCAGTGGCAAAGAAACAAGACACATATTGCGTTTGCTTGAAAAAAAATCACTCTTACAAAAAGGTCAGGATTTCACCATCCAAAAAGAACTTATTTATTATATTGTATAAGTCGTATCGAGTAACTTGCAAACAATGAATATTGATTAGTGGAACTTTTCTGTGAATCAAACAAGCCAAATTGCCTCAAAATAAAGTATACCTTTACTAGAGCAAAGACAATATTGCTGCAAAAAGGAGTCCTGAAAAAGGCTTTTTCATGGGAAAAGGAAAATTTATGTTTTATTGCTTAGCTTGTGGGAGTAAATCCTGATAATTTTTCTTTAATGTTGATCTTTAACCCTTTTGTATGTACCATTAATTGCACATTTCGTCTCTATATGTATAAAATTTTTAAATTTAATTACAGGACCTGTAATGGAAATGAAAAATAGCTATCGTGTCCATGATCTAGTGCTGGATTATGCTCGCGAAAAACTACGAAACGAAGATCCTTCCAAGCAAAGATCGGTGGAGGATGTTCAATGTCAGTTCCTTGACGCCCTACGTGAACAATGCACAGACCGCGAATGGCCGCGCTTCAATGGTAAAAGAAACTATTTTTTCAGATATTTACCTTACCATCTTCATTCTGCAAAGCAGTATGAAGAGCTCCAACAGCTATTCTTCAACTTCCATTGGCTACAAGAAAAAGCAAAAGAAACTAATCTGCCATCTTTGATATCTGATTTTCGATTTCTTGAACACCCCTCAGACGAAATCAAACTGCTTAAATCGTCGTTAATGTTGTCCGCTGATGTGATCGAAAGCACTCCAAATTCAATTGGTACTCAATTGCTTGGTAATAAATATTGTTGTAAAGTAAATGGTTTGAATGGTTACAAACATATAAATATTGTTGTGATAGATGAAAGCACTGTATTTTGTTTATCAAAGCCTGATAGTTTGTTGGTTAGAAAAAATGAATATAAGTGGGCTAAATTGGGCTTATACATTTACAAGTCGCATAAATAGTAAAATATTCCTGACTTTGTTTGCCAAGGAAAAACTCAAACAAAGAACACTGATTCTTTCAGTCCATATCATTGAGTAAAAAATGTATTAGAGCAATAAGGCGTAAAGTTTTCTTTATATATCTCCAATTTTAAATATAGTGAATGCTCGGGTTTTCAAGCTGCTATTGTCAATAAACTTAAAACAACATAATGCTATATATGCATTTCAAATGTGAAACAGCAGTTAAATTTTGACTTAATTTGATAAGGCGCAAAAAATATAATACTGAGTCAGAAATTTTACTTTATAATGCTACAGCTAGGGCCTTCCTGAGAAGGTTTATCACTGAGTGGGAGTAATTTTTCCCACAGACTGGCCAACTAACTTTTACTAAATACAACATACAACAAAACCTCGATTGTTTTCAAGGTCTACAAAATGACATCCCTTAAATATCTTAATTGTTAATTAATATTGCAGTAATGTAAACGTAATCACGTAGTATCGTTAATGCACTAAAGGAATATTGTTAAGATAGTCATTAACTAACATGCATTATTGCCTACTGTTAAGTTTCTCTTGATTTATACATCTATACGAAAGTTTTAGTCTCTCAACTCTTATTTACGCTGAATGCAATTCATCGGTAATGTGTTGTTTAGTCGTCAAACATCTTTTTTTCTACCGACTGCATTTTCAAATAAAATTTTGGGTTGTGTAACACCACCCTACACCCTCCTATATTCACGGCTTTGTTTGGCAAGGGTTTTATGTTTACTCTAATGTCATCAATCCTAAAATTCATAGTGCTTGGTCAGTAAATGCAGTTGAATGCGTAACGAATTGCAAATGTTTTATGCATTTTGTGTGAGCAAAAAGCTTTAGAATGACAAAACAATTGGACTTGTAAAGAAAACTTTTTGGTAAATGTGAAATATATACACTTTTTTAAATGACGTTTTGTTTTACAATATAGGAAGGCTCCTTTCTCATGTGGAGCAGTTTCCAGGAGTAAAAAAACTTTTAGGTAAAGCCAAGGAAATTTCCTCCACCACTTGCCATCTCGTTCCGTTGTTTTCATGTTTATCGGACCCCACAGGTCCGTTAATAAAGATATTTAGGAAACACTGTGACAAAGTTTTAGCGTTGGTTACCACCGTGGGTCCTTCTGGATTAATTGTGATCTCAGCATCTAAAGACTGCCTGATCAAAGTGCATGAACTGGAGACTGGTATGGAGTTAGAAGTGCTCCGAGGTCATACAATGGCAGTTTACTGCCTCGCGTTGTCGCACTGTGGAACAAAGCTTGCGTCGGGTTCTTATGATTCTACGACCAGACTTTGGAACTTAGACACTTATAAATTGCTATTTACCATGGAAGCTGAAGGAGGATTTGTCAATGCACTGGATTTTAGCATTGATGACAAATGTCTTTTTTCTGGTTCAAACGATGGTATGTTATTTAATTAATTAATCAGCCCCACTGCACTTAGTGCTTAGTTTGTAAAAGTTATTGACATTGTAAGTAAAACACATTGTAAGTTCGTTCAAGTATGGACACCTCAACTAGTTTTGTCTTTGGTTTCCTTCTTTATTGGTTTTATAAAATAACCTTTAAAAACACGGGCGCTGATTGGTCGAATGCTTAAAAATGTGTGTTGATATAAGTTAATAATGCACAAGACTTCAATCTCGCAAGAATCTCGCAGATTGCGTGATTTGTGCAGGAAATTTTAAGGGCGAAAATATAAACAACATGCCATTAAAACCAATACATTTATCTTTTAAACATTGTTTTCAAAAGGCTATTTAATAAACGAAATAGAAAACATATTAACTTGTTTCTATGGACTTATATTGGTGGTTTTCATGTGCGATATGCTAGTGGACTCCTTACAAAAGAATGTCATTACATTATCGAAATTGCTTGAAAGCACTCTCAACTAGTGTTCGTGCTGGCCACGTAATTCCTCGTTTCTCCCAAACTCTCCTGCGTGTTTATAAAGCTCTACATAGAAACTAAGAAAATGTGTTCCATTTCTTAAATATAATGGACAAATTAATGCAATATAAAATTTTATATCATCGTTGGATGAAGCCAAGTTTTAAATCAAAGCAATTCAAACTGAATTAGAATCGTCAATTTTTTGATAGGGAATTTGCGAATATGGGATGTAGCTAATGGGAAACTATTAGCTAAGACACAAGCACATGAAACGAATATGCATATTCGAGGCTTATGTACCACCAGAGATGGCCGTATGATAGCGACCGGATCACTTGATTATAACGTCAAATTATGGGATGCTTCTAAATTAAGTCACCTAGCGACATTAAAGGGACATACAGACACCGTTTATGCCGTAGCAGCTACTTACGATAGTAAAATGATTGTTTCTGCCTCTGGTGATAAAACTTTAAAGATCTGGAATTTGCAGTCATTTGGCGAGTTGCGAACATTAAAGGGACATCAAGGAGAAATATATAGTGTCGCTGTAAGCAGTGACTCGAAACATATAGTTTCTGGAGGACAGGATATGGACGTAAGGTTATGGTGCTTTCGTACTGGAAAATCTCTTTTTTGTTTTAAAGGACACAGCCAATCTATTAGGTAATTGATTGTAGAACTTGCTTCGACTGTGTCATGTATTTACTATGTTTTCATAAAGTGCCATTATATTTTAGACGTTAAGTTTTAACATTTCAGATAAACCTATTCAAATTACTGTTGTCAGCATTATAGTTTGTAATTTCATGCACATTCTTAACAAAATAGCTTAGTCTGCTATTATCCTATAACTATGGTAATATTTCCTTAAATAACACGACAATGATTGACATTATTTTATTTTAGATCTGTTATTATAATTTCGAATGGTAGAAAGGCGCTAACTGGCAGTCAGGATAAGACTTTTTGCCTGTGGGACCTGGATATCAAAAAAGATAAAAACGACAATTCGTTTCGTGGTCATTGTGAAGATGTAATGGATATTGCAGTCACACAAGACGGTTTGAACTGTGTTTCGTCATCTATGGATGGAACAATAAAAATCTGGAAATGTATCAAAGCTGAGGAGCGTTTTACTTTGAGAGGTGTGTGAATAGACCTTTTCAAGGCTATCGCAGCCATATTGCAGGGGGTGCAAAAACATTCGGCCGAGCGCGCGGTCACGCATGGCGTCCATATAAATTAGTAATAAATGCGCAAAAATTACCCTTATACATATTGGCCATTTCTTTCAAAAATATTTCTCAAACTCGTCCATTTTAATAGTTGAATTATTTTTTGCGACGTTTTATACATGTGAGTCCAATTTTGTGGTAATCAAAAAGCGGAAAGTTAAAGAAAACATTTGTTTTCTTTGAACAACTTGACCGTCGTTTGAGCGATGTTCTTGAGTTCGCAACACACGCACATGTCTACAGCAAAGTCAGCAAGTGTCACGAGGAACTATTCTATCTCTTATTAGTATTTCCAATTATTTGTAAAGTGACATTGCTATTTTTATCATTATGTATGGCGACTTAACAGCCAGAAGAAGAAACAGCCAAGTATTGAAATAAACACTTAAAACTGTTAGTCGATGGCAGGCCGGTGTGAAACCTTGCATCATACTCTCTCGTCAACTGTTCAAATTCCAAAGGGACAGGGAGTAAAGATGCCTCAGATTTTGCTGGATTTCCATCAAAACTTGAATCAGAATCCTCGGTGTCATAGGATTGATGAGGACGCTTTGATGTCGTCCATGTTTCTCCTCTACGTTTAAGCGGAGTCCTCGATTGCTCGTACTCTGATAGCGTAATAAAAACCGAAGGATAATCCGTTCCGCGGTTATTTGGGGTTCTTCTTCCCAAGGGAAAACATTTTGAGCAAATTAAAGTACCTTGTGCACCAGGATTTGGGTGAAAGTCATCGGCTCTGCTGTTTGCAATTTGTTTTCGCCAAATTTCAGCAAGTGCTTGATCTTTGGGCCACTTATGAAAAACTAAATTTTCTACGTGAGACCTCTTAACTTAATAATAGGGATAGCGTTTATCATTATCGCAATATCCAACTTCACAACGCGCATTTTTTAACATTTCGGCTATGACTGCTTACGGCTACTCGGCTAGTTTAGGGTTTAGTTCGTTTGACTTGGCTTATGAGATAACAATAAATTTTGCAGCGGACGTTTGGAATGCATTACCCCTTTCCATAAGAGATGTGTCCACCTTAAGCCAATTTAAGCGTGGTATCAAAAAAGCACTATTTTAATTAGTTTCGTTTTTAGCATGTTAATTTTCAAATGATGTAGTTTTATCTTCATGTTTTTCGATTTGTATTCTTTTTCTTTTTCTTTTCAAGTAGTTTTATTATATTTAGTTACTTTTAGAGGACCCCTTTGTAAACCACTTTTTAGTGATGTTGGCATCCTCAATAAAGATTAGCTATTATTATTATGAGTTCCGCACATTTGCGAACTCAAGAACATCGCTCAAACGACGGTCAAGTTGTTCAAAGAAAACAAATGTTTTCTTTAACTTTCCACTTTTTGATTACCACAAAATTGGACTCACGTGTATAAAAAGTCGCAAATAATAATTTGACTATTAAAATGGACGAGTTTGAGAAATATTTTTGAAAGAAATGGCCAATATGTGTAAGGGTAATTTTTGCGCATTTATTAGTAATTTATATGGACGCCATGCGTGACTGCGCGCTCGGCCCAAAGGTTTTGCACCCCCTGCAATATGGCTGCGATAACCTTGAAAAGGTCTATTTCCCTGTTCCTATATCCATTTTCTTAAAATTAGTTTTGCGATTTAATCTATGAATTGCACGAATAAAGAATTATATTATCGTTGTTTGAATACGGATTGGACAGTTTAAGTGTAAGTCATCCGCTAAAAATACTAATATAAGTTTCTGTTTGGATTTTCCAGCTTTTTTGAGCTAGTTTTTAACCACAATTCTTAATTTTGTGAAGGAAAATTGCGTTGTCCCTACCCAAGTCTAAACACCAAGGTCGTGGTTGAGGGGCGCGCTTCCTATGGCGAACTGTTGCCTGTCCGATCTTTTACTCCAATAATACAAATTTGTCAGCAAAATTACTATTCATTTCTTAAGACAATCAAATTGATTCTGCGTTTTTCTGCGATTGAATGCACCCATGTTAGCAATGTATAGGATTAATAATGGGTTGGCTTTGCTGCTGCTACAGGCGCAACACTCAAACCACTACACCTATTTTTGCCACCCTTGTCAGAGCAAGAATCGAATGGCGCATGGAAATAATCAACTAAGGAAATAAACTTTTTAGTAGCCTTAAATTTTCCCGATCATATAATAGGTTTCATGGATAGATACTTCTTTCATCATTTTCTATAAAGGTCTACGTGCATCAAAAATAAAATTAAGCATATTAATTGTTTGCAATCATGTTGCTTGGAGCACTCGTGTAAATGTCCAGTGGGTATTCCAGAATATTATACATAATGATCACTGTAGTGATTATTGTTCTTCATGAAAAGCTCAGCATCAAATGATGATGGTTTATTAGTTGCCTCAGCAGAGGTACTAATTATTGTTGCAAAGAAAGGATTAGTACACGTCTAATATTTCTTCTTAAATTGTGGACATGATTTGCATTTGACATGAACACGATGTGAACATGATTAAAAAGTTTTTTGTTTTAGTCATTTTTTTTCGCTTAAGATGCCGCAACAGTTCTAATAAAAGTATACGTCAAATGTTTACCGAAAAATGAACATTATAAAGTTTTAATATTTGACTTCTTGCTGTTCATATGTTGCAGGCCATACCAAAAAAGTAATAAATGTTTCAATCTCAAATAATGGCGATTATGTTGTTTCGCTTGGAAAAGACTCTTTGATCAAGGTAATGCTTATAAATTATCATATGGTTACGTTGCTTGCACAGTTCTACAATTTTCCCACCAGGCAAAAAAGTAAAACACGGAAACAATGAGAATTATTTGCCGTTGTTTTATGATGGCATTGTAACATATAAGACCTGATTTGATCAATAAAAAGTCAGACTTACGTTCATTGGTTTTAAAATATGTTTTGGCTTACTAAGTTGTCAGTCGGAACTTTACGATGGGTATTAAGTCTATTTAATGCAAAAAACATGTAAATAAATGTGAAATAAAAAGAAAGGGAAGTTTCCGTGTGAAGAGTTTTGTCCATCTTTAAATTTAAAAGAGTTCAAAAAACAGTTCATATCCTATGCATTATGTACGAAATGTAGATTATGATAATGAAGTGCTTCGGTTTGAAAGTGAACTTATTTTTGTAATTTGATGACATCTTAGGAGCTGCGGGATGTTACGTTTTTTATGCTACAATATCGACCATTGTATATAAATGAGCAAAATTTAGCTACTAAAACTTTTGTTCGAATGGCTTGTATTGTAATTAAGTATGGCTAAAGTTATGTAATATATCATTAACTTGTGACCATTATTCATTAATGTCAATTGTTGAGCTGGCAATATTGTAATGCAAGCTATGTCAGGGCTATAGAAAAAACGAAATCCAAGTGAATTTTTGATTTTTTAATTGTTTTTATGATTCCAAGTTTTCAAGAGGAAGTTGATATTCCGCCATCCACCTTGATTCAAATCGAATCATCAAGAATTCATAAAATTTTCAAGAGAATTAAAAGAATTTCGCGCTGTGACTTTTTGCTCATTAGCTCCACAAATAATATAACTAATTTTTTTTCATGACGTTTTTTCTCTCCCTTGTTTTTTTTTCTATATATGTAATTGGTTGATACATTCATTCCGTCTTTTAGGTTTGGAGTTTGATTGACGGCAAAGAAATTCGCGGAATCAGTGGCGATAAGCAATCACGTTTAGTGCGTTTTGATCTCGATAACAAGCTTGTTCTTATTGGCTGCAAAGATAACCAAATATTTCTTTGGGACTGGAAAAATGATGATAAGGCTAAACGCCTTACGCTGCCATCATACACGACCATGGAGATTGCATTTCAGGAAAACATGGCTTATACCTGTAGCAGAAACAACGAAGTTTGCAAAATCGATCTTAACTCACTTAAAGTAACTTTTGTCAGTCAAGGTCCTAACCCAAGTTGTATGAAAATGGTCGTTTTACCCAAAGGTGACGCCATTCTTGCTGGCATTGTGACAGACAATGTGTTCATATACTGGGAGTTATCGTCTTGGCGTGAAATCCGATACAAAGCTGACCATCCTCAAGATTCCGTCATCACAGCAATTGATATTACCAAAGATGGAAAATTTGTTTTGACAGGAAGTAGTTTAGGTACTATTTCACTGGTGAATCTTGGAACCTCTAAAGTGGTACAGAAGTTTAATAACACGGAGTCTGGTGAAGGCGTACGTTTGATTAGCATGTTGTCAAATGATCTCAGTTTTATCATTGTTGACGAAGCAAATCGAGTGGAACTAAGAAATTTCAGCAACAGCAGTGAAAAAGTACCACTAGGTTTGTTTACTTAATGATCATACATATTCAGTTGTTTAGCTTACTGTAGCATTTCCTCATTTTTGTTCGAGCACGGTAAAGTAATATATATATATACAGTAGACGAAAAATTATTATTTTGTTTAAATATCTGCAAAGCAAACACATTATTAAAAGTTTTAGAATGTTTAATAGGAATAATATTTAGTCTTTTAACAATTAAGGTTAAAATGCTTTTAAAAAAATATGCAAATACACGTGGTACGCACAAAAAATCTTTATTGTAAGTTGTGCTCTCTATTAGAGCACTCACTTGCAAACTATACAACAGCTGACATCATTTCTTTAAATAAGGAACTCAGTTCAAAGTTCTTGGTGACGTATTTGATAAATCTTAAACTAACGCATTCGCGCAAGAAATGCATGCAAACTATGAACAACGACTACATAAAATCAGTTTTAAGGCACTATAGCAAGAGTGGAGAAGGTCTATACATTGACATGCAGCTCATTTTTGTAAGTCGATTCTAAAGAAATTCTCATACATGTCACTAGATTAACTGATGAATATTTTTTAAAATAATTGTAAGACCTTTCTGCTTCCCAGCAGCTAGTCACTTCAGAAAGCGATCTCTTTAAAAGCTTCTCCGTAATAACCTATAGATATCAGAATAAAGTTTAGAGCGTGACTTTTTAACGTCAGTGTAATGTATATTGGTGACAATTAAAAAGTCTATATATAATCACTATTTCTGGCTTAAACCCATATAATCGATTCAGTTCTTCAAAGAGCCTTTTGTAAAACTTTTTTACGCGCTAAAGCATTAGCTTCGGAGAAATGTCGATCGAAAGAAAAGTAAGTCACGTTGAATATGACATGACTTAAGATGAAAAGAATGTACACGATAATTCGCAATTATCAAGACAACAACAACAATTGTAATAAAGTAAATGGTTTGAACCCGGGAGAATCGTAACAAACATGTAACATGTAACAACAATTGTCCTAACGAGACAAACATGTAACAACAATTGTCATAAGAATAACATTTGTTTATAATTGTAATTGGTCAATAATTATAAGAACAACATAATCATTGCATGTACCATATCGTTCTTTACAAGCAAATACCCCAACCATAAATTGCATATAGCTAAATTCACTGGGCTGTCATATTCTAAACACGCCAAATTTTTACGAAGTATATCATATTTTTAATAGTTAATTGGATTTCAACAATACTCGCATTATATCAATTTTTCAATTTAACTAGGAATCAGAATCGAATGAAAATTGTCGTTATTTATCGCACCGTTTTTGCTAGACATGTAAACTTCAGATGATAACTCTCCACTATCACTATTTCCAAGAGCTCGATCTTTAGTAAACAACATCTTAGTCCACCTCAGTGTAGACATAATTAAAGATCCACGAAGTATAATCCGTCGCTTAGAATGTTATTGTTATTATAGCTAAGAGCTTTAATATTTTTCAAATTTTGAAAGAAATTACTCAAGCAAAGCATATGGCAAATTATAGAAAACCTTCATTCGTTCATTGATTAAAATATTTCAGTATTCCCGCACTGATCTCGAAATTGATAAATTCACTTAGTGGACTCCTTTTAAGTTTGGAAGTAAGTCTGTATCTCTGTGATTGGTCAAAAGGCCTTTTGGACTTCCTTAAAAAAACTATAGCAAGTCAGGTTACCCCACTTAGAAGTCAAGTCACTTGTTTGTGATTGGTTAATATGCCTTTTGGACTCCATTGAGAAGCTTGAGTAAGTCAGGCTACCCGATTATAAGTCAAGGCACACGATTCGGTAAGATCTACCCTACTTTTAAAATTTTATTGTTTTTTTCGACAAAACTTGAATTTGAACCAAAAATCGTATAAAACTGAACTTGCACGATAACAGAAAAGCCTGCTATAGTGAGTAGTCTTTTAGAACATTAACGATCAAATTTCGAAATTCATTTGAAAATTGTGCTTGAATTTTCTGCATATTTTACGTAAGTCGCTTTACTTACCTGACTTATCCTAGATCCGCCACTGGACATGCAGAACGGTTATAGCTACACCACGGGTAGCAACTGGCAATGTTTTTGATGTGTAGAATTGTAATATATTATCGGTCTGTTTTGTTCTTCTCTTCGTTTTGTTGCCTCAATTTTGTTTTATTTCCTTTTAACTTGTCTGTATGGTATCCATAAGCTTTAGAGTGCAAAAAATACTTTAATGTATCGGTAATTGTAAAATTTTTTTGAAGAAATCGTGGTAACGGTGGTTATGGTTTTTATTTCAACCATCTATAGGTCAACCTGGGGCAAAAGTTAAATGCGTGTCACCTGTGGGCTTGCAATACATTCTGCTGGGTTGTGATAACGGAATTCTGTTGTTCTTTCATCATCAAAAGAACAATCCCACTGAATATCTGAAATCTGCTTTTAAAGAATCCGTGACCCAAGTTCAAGGTCACCCAAATACAGAATATCTTTATTTTGCCGCTGGAACACAATGTGGATCAGTAAAACTTTGGTATGTTGAAAAATCCACTCCTCCAAAACTAATTGAAATCTGGTCACACGATCAAGTTCACCAGTATCCAATAACAGCTTTGGCTTTCATACATGGAGCAGAAGACGTTCTATGCGGTTCTTATGACAACTTTGTGGTCCATATGAACTCCACTGGAGTCGTCCGCACGTACAGTTACAAGAGTTACGGGATTGCAGCGCTGCGTGTCGTGGAAGAGAATTTACTTGTGGCTGCTTACATACGTGGATTTAGTGTAGTAAAATGGCGTCTTAAGGAGGGAGAAATTCTGGAAATGTTTGATGGTGGAGCTGATAGAGAGCAGGTGTCACGTGCATATCTTGCACTTGAAGAAACTGTTAGTCATGAGCAACTATCAGGTACTTGCATTGAGCGCATTGTTTCCAAGGGATCGCACCACTCACTCTTGCATTGGGAACTAAAAACTGGGGAAATTATTCATCGCATGCATGGTCACTCTCATAATATTCGTGCTTTGGCGTTCATTCCTGGAGGGGAGTGTTTGCTGTCTGGCTCACGCGACAAAACGCTAAAAATGTGGAATTTGAAAAATGGACAATTGATGGAGGAGTTCCATTTTGAACATGATGTTCTCGCGATTGCCTGTGCTAAAAATGGAACTGCTTGTGTTGGATTGCAAGGCGGGCAGGTTTGCTTCTTGCGAATCAAAACGTTAGCAGCAAATGCTCAATAGAACTTATGATAAACTTGTCTTCAACAGCAATATGTCTTATATCATTATATAATCTTAATACATCAGATTACTATTATAAGTGGATCTAAAATCAACATGTTAGATGCAGCCTAAATTTTTTCTCCAGCTATTTTTTTTTCATTTAACACATTTAAAGGAAGCAGTTGTAAAATATTGAGATATAGTTGTGGGAGTAATAACTTTAGACGGTTTTCCCTCCAACTAATGAATTCATGTCGATCATCAACATATCACTTAAAAGTGCGTCGAATTTTTTTTCATGGTGTCTTTGATAAAGAGCTGCGATTTTTACACGATTTTAGCTTTAAACATTTCTTTTCTTTTTTTTTTATCGATATCAAAGACAAATGTTGTTATCCTTTCACTTGTATTCAACCGTCCCCAGTCCCATTGTACATATAGGTATGGTGGTTGTATATGATTATATCTTTTACTTTAGTCTCATTATTTCTTCAACTACTGCGATCACAACATGCTTCCATAGCTAACAATTCAAAAATCGTCTCTTTTTAAATTCGTATAAAATGTATGTATACTTATCTCATTTCATTAATGTAAATATAGTGTAGTTATAATTTAGCAACTAGCCCGTTTTAGGAGATCTCATTTAGATTAATATCTTTAATTATATTGAATACTAATTAATAAACACTTAAAAAATGTGGTTTTGAGAAATGTTTTGGATGTACTATGTAGAAATTGTCGGTATTAGTAAATGTGGTATACACAGATTTTCACCTTTAAACACACATAAAGTGTAATTTCAGCTTTAACTTTGAAGTTTATATTTTTCATGCAGAAATGGTAATAAAAAACTACGAACAGGAAATTTGATTTTCGAAAACTGAAACTGAACATGAAATTTGCATTGTACAACAAAACAAAACTTTAGTCCAAAAAAACGCAGAAAAAACAACATGAAATAGATAAGTCAAAGCTCTTTGGCTACATGGACACTTGATGTGTTTCAGTGTTTGCATTGAAATTTGTTATATGATCTATCAACAAGCCACACTACATGCTCATGTTAAGAGCTATAAAGTAACACTGCGTTATCTTTAGACGTCGCTTGCATGTATTACACATACAACTTGTTAGTTTTAAATGGAAGGATGATAACTAATGACATGAAAAAAACCCAGTGACATTTGATGATGCTCAAAGAACAAAATTGGTTGATCAGCATATGAAAATTTTAGCTGAGGAGGTAACAGTCGTTTTAATAATTTAATTTTGCAATGAATAGCAGAGATAGTATTAAGTAATTAGAAAAATTAGAATTGGCCATTTATTGGGGAGACTTTAGGCTTTGGAAATGTACATAATTCATGGTATTCTGATAAAGGAAGTTTATATTGCCTTAACATTGGATGCATTTCTAATAGTGCTATGTTGTGTAAAAAAATTTGTTTTGAGCATGTATTTTTTGTGCAAACATGGTTGTAGTGATTACCAGACAGAAAGTTAATTCTTATTGCACACTTGTTTTTCTTTTGGCATAAAATTTGAATTAAACGTCGTCTGTCACGAAAATTTTTTTGTATTCTGGTTGTGTGGAATGTGTCAATGGAACTGTTTTATAAGGCTATGAAAGAATTAATGAAGAAATGATTTAATAAAACTAAACTATATTTAATGGTGGTATTAAATTTAAAGTTTGTGTGAAATTGAAAATTTATACAGTTACTAAATGATGTGAAAAGTGATTGTAAAATACTTTTGGTTCCAAGAAGATTAATCACTGAAGAGATGATTGTTGTTGCTGTTGTTGTTGATATTTTATGACAATATTTTTACTTCACTGCTTTAATCTAAGATATAATGCAGACATATATGTAATATTATTTGAGAAATGTAGAATAGTGTTTGGACAACAAAAGATTCTGTTTAATTCTACATCCGTAATGATGATCATTACAATAGCATTGATGGTATAGCATTACATTTGTAGAAATAATAATTATCATAGCAATACCAACAACAACGGAAACTATGTATAGTAAATAAAGAATAATAGCAATATAATAAAAACAAATGTCATCTCATGCCGTTTTCTAAAGTCCATATTGTTGCAAACTATGCATAGCTTTATGCAGTACTTATGCCTAATGTGAGCATTATCAATTATTTTACTTTTCTTTTAGTTCAGTTACTTGGAGAATCTTGGTCGCCAGGCCAGCTGCTTACTGGTGAATGGAAAAAAAGAGCTTTATGTCCTTGGTTCATCAGAAGGAAAAAGATTTGTTCACAATGAACCAGCAGTTTTGTGCAAGTTTCAAGCAATGTTTGGTAAAGAGTAAAAAATTTGCAAAGATCAAAAATACATAATTGGCATAAAATTTAAATTCTATTAATATGTCAGCACCAGTTTCATGGATACCAGTTACTGGATGTTAGTCAAGTAGATTTATATGACTAAGTTTCAGAGCCTTACTATAATGTCGTGTTACGTATGGTTGCAAAATATTCATCGCAACTCAAAATAGCATGTTTCTAACAATAAATATTAAGGTATTTTTTGGTATCCGATAAAGTGGTATTCGTATATAAAATCATGAAACCATTCGCTACAGTGTTTCATGCCTTTTGGCAATCACCAGGTGAATGGCAGTTTAGTTGATGCCCTCATAATAGTATTTATTTTACTTTTAAATTTATATTTTGCTCAATCTATAAGAATATTGAGCACTCTTTTATAACAAAAATGTACAAACTATAATTTTATATTGACAAGCCCGCTTCGTGATTTCTCACTCTTCAATAAATTCTCTGAAAAGAGTGAAAAATCATGAAGCTAGCTTTTTGGGATAAAATTGTACTTTGTATAACAGTATAATGTTGTTAGTAACAGTTACTTACAAAGGTTGCCTGTATCTTCCTGAATGGTAGTGTTTACCTTACAGTGATAGTTTAATATTACCTTTTGATACACCTGCTTAATAAATCTTCTCTGTTTTTAATAAAAAGTTTATGGAAGATACAAAAAATTTTCCTATGAGTAATTTTGTAAGAAATTACCCTTTTTACAGTCATGTTGTTAAGTCATTATGATTGTTAGCTCTTGTCAGTGAGAATTTTTCATACTGGTGAGGCAAAAGTTGTGACTGGTTCTCGGGTTCCATATCTCTCCGGTAGTTTTCATGTTGAAGGACTACCAGATGGCATTCGCCTAAAGAAGCCACAACAATATGGCTCAGAGGATATAAAGAAAATCATGGACTGCCAGGATAGTATTTCCTTCATTCTTGAAACGTCAGAAGGTGCACCTTTGCAAGATTTTGGTGAAGACTGCAATGAATTGCTTAGCAATGTATTCGGAAAATGTGGCTTAGTAATGTATTCGGAAAAAGAAGATGTGGAGGTATTGGATATTAATGAGACCCATAGCATTTCTGAAAACGAAGAAATAATATCAACACACTGGAAAGTGTTATGTCCAGAAGCTTTGACAGAGTTAAAAAGAATAAATTGAATGCATATGAGTCTCAAGCAAATCATTTGTTTTACCTGTGTACTGTGATGACGAGGAAAGTCAGTTCTGGCTTATTTCATTTATGGAATCTCTAAAAGGTCTGCAGCAGATAAGCGCAAGAGGAAAATTGAAAGGATGTTGGCTAAATCGTGAGTCAGGCAATACCTTCTATATTATAAAAAAAGAGAAACAATCTTGGAAAAAATATTATTAAGGACAATGGCAATGTAGTTTTTGAGACTGGCTGTAGTTTTTGAGACTGACTGAGATATTAAACAAGTCCTTTGAAAAGAAAATTACTCAAATTTTATCACAACAGGGATATATATATAGTTTTCAATTTCACTCCAATGAAAAAAAATTTCATTGTTTACAATGGTAACAGGCAGCACTGCAAAATGTGCATTGTAATCAACTATTTGTGCCAGCCGATAAAACAACTAACTTTTACCGCATTAATCCGGACACATACCAACAGCTCCTCCAAAGTAACATAACCAAAATCTACAAGAAATCTTCACCAGACGCAAAAACCGAAGTCATTAAGGAATAGAAATCAATAGCGAAAGACCTCAAACTCGAAAGCAGAATCGACGCTCTAGCCGAGAAAAATTGCTTCATCACACTAAAAGACCACAAACCAAACTTCAACAACAACCCGACATCGCGACTCATCAATCCAACAAAATCCTAGATTGGCATCATCAGTAGAAAGATTCTCGAAAGGATCATTAAAAAAATAATAGCACACACCGGCGTAATACAATGGCAAAGCAGCGACTCAGTGATTGAATGGTTCAAAAGCATCCCCAACAAGCGCTCCCAGTCATTCCTTAGCTTTGACGTCGTTGATTTCTACCCCTCAATATCAAACGACCTTCTACACAAAGCCCTGGACTTTTCTTCCGAATTTGTAGAAATCACAGAGAAAGACAAGCGCATAATCATACAAGCTAAGAATTCCCTATTATTCAACAGATCTGAAGCATGGTGCAAGAAAGGCAGCAGCTCAAATTTCGACGTAACAATGGGTAGCTTTGACGGAGCGGAAACATGCCAGTTGGTAGGCTCATTTCTACTCTCACAACTTTCTACAGACTACAGAAATAACATTGGTTTATATCGCGACGATGGCCTCGGTGCTTTCAATGCTCCCCCAAAGACGATAGAAAAAATCAAGAAAGTACTGTGCCGAATATTCAACGAAAACAACCTGAAATTAACCATTGAAGCAAATAAGAAATCCGTGAACTTCCTTGACATCACCTTTGATTTACGATCTGACTCTTTTAAGCCATACAACAAACCTGGAAACATTCCTCAATACATAAACATTCACAGCAACCACGCCCCATCTATCCTACGCAGAATCCCGGAAACCATCAACCAGCGGCTCTCAAGAATCTCATCCAACAAGCAATCATTCGACTCAAGCATACACCCATACCAAGAAGCACTAACAAAAAGCGGCTTTAACTACAAATTACAATACAGCCCACAAACCACACAAAAGTCAAAAAACAGAAACAGAAATAGAAACATCACCTGGTACAACCCACCATACAACTCCAATGTCCACAAAGACATCGGACACAAGTTCCTTAGTATAATCAACAGGTCCTTTCCAAAAAACCATCCACTCAGCAAAATCTTCAACCGAAACACACTTAAGCTAAGTTACAGTTGCATGCCAAACATCGATACGATAATTTCTACACACAATAAGACCGTTTTAACCAAAGAAGAAACGATGAAAACGCCACCACAGACAGAAAATGCAACTGCCGGAAAAAAGAGGAATGCCCACAAAAAGGAGAATGCCAAACCAAAGGGGTAGTCTACCAAGCCACAGTCACCAACACACTAACCAAACACAAAGAAACCTACATCGGTCTAACGGAGAACACTTTTAAAACACGCTACTTGAACCACACCAGCTCATTCCGAAATAAATCAAAACAACACTCCACAGAACTTAGCAAATACATATGGAAACTAAAAGACTCTAACACACCATACACCATCAACTGGAAAATTGTAAAGAAATCACAACCTTACTCAAACAAAACCAAACGCTGTAATTTATGCCTCTCGGAGAAATTCTTCATCATCTTCCACCCAGAACTCAGCTCGCTCAATAAAAGAAACGAACTCATTTCCGCATGCCGCCATCGTAATAAACACTTACTAAC